GAGCCCAGCCTGGGGCTTCTGCTGGGGGTGGGCCATGACCCCCCCCCCCGGGGCTGGGCACGGCGTGTGGCTCCCAGTGGGGTGGGGAATTGGCCCCCGGGGCACAGTTGTGTCCCCTATGCTGACTGTACATAGTGCTACAGCTGTGAGCAGCGGCCTCCTTTGGCTTGACAAGCAGCCCCCCCTCCCCTTTTAGGAGCATGTCCCCATGTCCTTCACTGGGGTGGGGCTGGGGGACCTAGCTGTGGGGATTTGACTCCTTCTGACTCCTCTTCCCGCTTGTGGCTGGGGGAAGGATGTCGGGCTGGTAACAGCCAGCAACCTGGCTGGAGCTGGGCAGTAACTGCTTTGCCCCAGGAATAGAAGAGAGGTTTTGGACACAGGAGCATGGTCTCATGGTTAAAGTACACATCTACCCCGATATAACGCTGTCCTCGGGAGCCAAAAAATCTTACCACGTTATAGGTGAAACCGCGTTATATCGAACTTGCTTTGATCCGCCGGAGTGTGCAGCCTCCTCCCCCCACCCCGGAGCACTGCTTTACCGTGTTATATCTGAATTCGTGTTCTATCGGGTCATGTTATATCGGGGTAGAGGTGTACATGGGGAGGGACTGCGAGTCAGGACTCCTGGGTTCCGTTCCCCACTCTGCCAGGGGTGGAATGGGCTCACCTGCCTGCCCAGGGAGTAGGGTTCTCAGGGTTCCCAGGTCTCATCTCTACAGGACTTGGAGCTCTGGCGTGGGCCGAGCATAGATGATGTTACCCTGGAGTTCAATGGACAGCATGGCTGCTCCTGGCTCTGCTGGCTTTGGTCTCTGCTCTCCCAGTGCTGCTTACTAAAGATCAGGACACAGCCGCCACTTCTCAGTGTGACGTGCCCCCGGAGCTCCTGCCCCATAAGACTACTGGGCTGATGTCAGACAGCAGCAGGGCGAAGGCGAGCTGCCCCAGCTCTGCCCTGCCGTGATCCCGCTGCCATGGAGCGGAGGCTCAGTCTTTGTGGTTCATTCAGGCAATAAGGGGCCCCTCATGCTGGCTGGGGGGTGAGCTTGTGAAGGGTGGTCAGCTTGTCACACTGACACGAGCACATCAGGGCCTGGAAGGCAGCAGGCCTGGCTCTCCTCTAGCCCAGCGTAGGGACAGGTCAGTGGGGTTCACAGCAGAGCCAGACTCGGGGCCCAGGGAGGCATTGGGAGTGGCAGCTGGAAATGCTGCCAGACAAGATCTAGCAAGCCACAACACTGGGTGTAGCCACCTACTTAGAGTGTGTGTGCAGGAGTGTGACGGGGTGGAAGAGAAAGGAGGGTGCGGCTGTGCAGGGATAGGAAGCAGCAACAGAGAGGGATCTAAGGCCCTGCTCTGACTGGAGCAGCTGGCAGGGTGGAAGGTCGAAGTCTGCTTCCTCATGCCCCTGTTTCATGCTGTCTCTCCCCTGAGTAGCCTCCCCTAAGGCCATTAGCTCAGCTGGGCTGTAGCTGTGAAGTTGCCTGCTTCCCAGGAAGGAAGCTGTGAGCCCCATGGCTGGTCTGGCCCATGCCCGGCTGCACTGGCTGTGTGAATCCAGGACATGGGGGTCCAACTGAGCTGCAGGCCCCTGCCTGCCTGCATGTCATTGGGGAGAACCCACATCCCTCTCTAGATGGAGGCAGGGGCCTCTTCTCGGTGCTCCACTACCCCTCCAAGGCCATCAAAGGGGCTGGAGTCTGTCTCCCCTTTGCCCCAAATAGCCTTCACCTCAGTT